CTAACCATCAGGGAAATGCAAATAAAAAACACAATGAGATATCACCTCACACGTGTTAGATTGGCTATTATCAAAAAGACAAGAGATAACAAATGTTAGTGAGGATATGGAAAAATGGGAACTCTTTTACACTGTTGGTGGGAGTGTAACATGGTAAAGCTATTATGAAGATCATTATGGAGATTCCTCAAAATATTAAAGTAGAACTAACCTATGATTTAGTAATTCCACTTTTGGGTACATATCCAAGCAAGTAGAATCACTATCTCGTAGAAATACCTACATCTCCATCTTCACTGTAGCATTATTTACAATAACCAAGACTTAGAAACAACCTAAGTGTCCACAGGTGGATGAATGTATTTAAAAAATGGTGGACACACACATATAAAACTAAGTATTATTCAACCATAATAAGAATCAAATTTACAACAACATGGATGGATCTTGAAGGCATTATGCTAAGTGAAATAAGTCAGAGAGAGACAAATCCTGTATGACCCCACTCATATGTGGAATCTGAAAACAAATTTATGGAGAGAGTAGAATGGTGTTTGCCAGAGGTGGGGGAGGGTGAAGGTAGTAACTTCCAGTTGGGAGACTCGTGTTCTGGGAATGTAATGTACAGCACGGTGACTGTAGTGTGTTGTACATTTGAAAGTTGCTATGAGAGTAGGTGTTAAACGTTCTCAACACACTCATAACTGAAATTACACGTGAGGTGAGAGATAAATCAACTGACCTTATTGTAGTAGTCATTTCACAACAGGTTCACAATATAATCAATATAATGTCTTCCAAACCTTTCACACCTTTCTTCCTCTATCACTGTCAGCCAATAACCCTCCCTACTATTACACTGGAAAAATGAAAACTCCCTCGCCCTGGCTGGTGTGGTGTCATTGGCTGGAGCGTGGTCCCAGAACCAAAGGGTTGCAGGTAAGAACCCCTTTTCCGGCACAGATGGGAGGTAACCAGAGGATGTCTCTTTCTCACATGATGCTTCTCTCTCCCTTCCTCTCTCTCTAGAGGCAATGAAAAAAATGTCCTCAGGTGAGGATTTAAAAAAATCATCCCTTTACCCAACATCCTTTATAACCCGTCCCCTCACCTGCCTGCTCCTTCAATAGTCAGAAAACCATTGTAAAGGATCCATCTCCAGTCCTCACCTACCCTTCACTCCAAGACCATTCCGGCCTGTCTCTACCTTTCCACAGCAATTGATAATTTTATCAACCCGCCTTCAAGAATTTTGCATTCTAATAGGAGATACAGATAATCCTACTTAACCAAATACAAGGACCATTTCTAGTACTCAGGTCAGGTTCTCTCAGTAATACTCCCTAGGATCACTCCCTGCGCTCTTTTCTTTTGGGAGTCTTGGGGATCTGCAATGAGTAATGTGGAATCGGGGAGATGATGGTCAAATGGTGCAAACTTACTAGTAGAAGATGAGTAAGTTCTGGAGATCTAATGCATGACAGGGTGATTATATTATGTCAACAATACCGTATTATAAAAGTCAAAGTTACTAAGAGACTGTTGGGAGAAAGCCCCAAAAGACTAAATTAAAGATTGATTTTGAGGAACTACCATGTAGCCTTATTGAAATTCGTAAGAGATTTAATAGGAGAAACTTGCACACACGAGCAAAGTAGCTGCTTCTCCCTCCCAGGACAGGGCCCCTTTTCTTTAGGGAGTTAAACAGTAAAACCATTTGGTGGGTAGTCACACAGACCACCAGAGAGAACAACGCATTTCTAAGTTTACAGGTAACAGCAGACAGTTATCCACACTCTACACATGCATTAACTTCCTTCTTGGGGCCTGACATTTATCCTTGGGTAGCATTCCTGCTTTCCGGGAAGCCAGCCACGCCTGAGAGAGTTAAACAGTCACAGGAGGTTAAACACAGAGTCCAACATTACTGCTGGAGACATACTGCATCTCTGAGTGAGTACCCCTAAATCCCAACTTCTCAACACGAAATAGAAATTATAAATATATGGTATTAAAAAGGTGTCAGCTAATGCCACTGTAATAATCATATAACACTATATAAATGTACAATGCACTACACACCTTAACATTACAAAATGTTATAGGAAAATTATATCTGAATAAAATACATAGGTACACAAAAGGCGAAGCCTCATAGTGGGCACTGCTGTGCACTGGGTTGGCCTCAGCCTTCGTGTTATCATCCCTGCCTCCACAGCACACATGTGTGCACACGCACAGAGCTTCCTGACATTTCAGGATGTGCACAGGGTTTGTTGGCTGTTTGTGTTTGTGGAACGCCTTTATCTTCTTTCTGTTCTGGTTCAAGTGGAAAGTGACCCCTCTTGGAAACATCAGTGTCCCCACTTTCGGTCACAGATGCAACACCATTATCTTGTACTCTCTGCATCTCACTGACTGAATATCACGTACTGTGGCCCCACGAGAATTCTGTGCTCACGGGGCAGTCGATGCTAACAGAGTAGCAAGGATGGTGACTGACACAGGTACAGAGGACATCTCCTTTCCTCCGGTACACGCTCCACTGGCCCATCAGACTTCACTTACAGAAACACCAACACAAAGATGAATTTATGAAGGCTTTTAACACAGCAACAGCACAGCATTAAGTTAAGCTCCACGCCCTTCTGCACGTTGAGTCTTGTGTAACTAACCACACAAGTAGCACACCCATGAACCTGGCCCTGGCCATCAGCACATAAGTGGCATTTAACCCCACAGGGTGTAGTAACATTCGAGAATGAGCTCTGAGCAGATTTTGGATTCTGAGAGATGCTTGTAAGGAAATGTGAGTTGGGTGCCCATACCCATCTCCGCCAGTTATTTGGGGCTAATTCGGCGGGGGCAGCATGTGTGTGTGGCTTTTCCCTAACGAAAGGCAAGCTGGACACTGGCTAGTGTAGCTCAGTGGATTGAGCATGGGCCTGCGAACAAGACAATCGCGGTTCGATTCCCAGTCAGGGCACAAGCCTGGGTTGCAGACCAGTTCCCTGCAGGCCAGTTCCCGGCGGGGGACGCATGAAAGGCAACCATACATTGATGTTTCTCTCTCTCTCTCTTTCCCTTCCCCTTTAAAGATATATAAATAAAATATTAAAAAAAAAAAAAGAAAGGCAAGCTGGAACCCCCACCCGGCGGTGGACAGTGACCGCTGCAGCAGTAACCCTAGGACACGGAAGAGAACCCCTGGAAATTCCCAGAACATTTGGGATGGGAGGCAAATTCCTCACCCGAACCAAGAAAGAGTGACCAGTCCTAGAACGCCAGTTTGGCTTTCTCTACACAAACTTAAGCATCAGTTTATCAGAACTAGTATTACCACTGCCAATCCACCACCCCCACCTGCTGTATATAAACGGACAGAAAGTGAGGGTTACCTTTTGGAGGGGAGAGCGATGTTCCACGGGATGTTCTTTTCCTCAACGTGAAGGAAGTGGTACTCCCTCACTACGCCAGGGGAGAAAGGCCTCAGGAAAACTGCTCAAAAGTTTGTAGCTGTCTGCTTAGATGCTGGGCTTTGTCTTTTGTTTGACTTCTGCCTCCTGCTCTATTTTTCAGACAAGAGATTTTTCTGAATTGAAGAGTCCCTGTCTCCAAAAATGTACTGACTTAAATAAAACATCTTACTCTTTCAGGATCTAAGTCTCCTTGGCCAACTGGGCTTGAAGCAGGCACGCTGGTAAGGAGCTCGCCGCACCCACGTGCAGGGGCCCGTGCGGCTCCCCGTCCTCGCCCCCGCCCTGGCCTGGGAGGTGGTCAGCCTGCAGAACGCACTGTCGGCCTCCCCGTGTGGTGGGAACTCAGTGCAGGAGGAGGTGGCCTCTGCCAGAGCTCCGAGGCCCACAACACACCGCAGGTGAAGGTGGAGACTCCTGACCAACCCAAGCTAAGACCCGTGGAGACCACGTGGAATCCCTGCCTGGGTGGGAGTCGTCCTGGAACAGCCTCTTCCGGCTGCCTCTCTGGCAGTGCAGACTGGGCCACCGGGTCTTCCCGAGTCTCCAGCCCCAGCTGCCTGCCTCCAGTGAAACAGAAAGCCGGTAATTCTTTGCCGGACAGTGTCCCTTTCCCGTCAATTACCGTTTTTACCCCCAGCCCCAGGCACCCTCGAACCTGCTTCCTGCCTTTGAAGATTTTCCTTTTCTGGAAATGGAAGCTTGCAATATGTAGCCTGTTGTGTATGGTTTCTATTTAGCATTAATATTGTTTAGGTTTATCCATATTGTTGCAGGTTTTTTTTTCATTGCTGACTAGCACCCCACTGTATGAATGTGTCATGTTTTATTTAGCCATTTACCAACTGATGGACATTTGGGGTTACTATGAATCATGGCAAGAACATTTGTGTATAAGGCGCTTTTTAAAATTTTTTATCTACTGAATCTAGAGAGAGATGCATTCTCTTAGTGATCCTCATTGGCTGATCCTCATATGTTGCCCTAACCAGGGAACAAACCCACAACCATGGTATAGCCAGACGGTGCTCTAAACAACTATGCTTAGAGCCAGGGCGTGTCTACAAATTTTTACGTGAATGTGTTTTCATTTCTCTCGGGTAGATGTCTAATAGTGAAGTTGCAGTTTTGTATGCTAAGTTTACACTCGACTTTTTTTTTAAATGGCAAACTCAGACCACTTTATTAGATTCAAAAGAGAATGTTTGATCAAAAAGCCAGTTTATTGAGACTAAAATGAACTAAAGTTGGTGAAGTTTCTAATTGAAGCTCTTGTTAACTGAGAATTAACTATTTTTACTCATTTTTTGAAATTTACTGAGGTAGACATTGTAAAAAACAAATATTAGGTAAGTAACTAAGCATCTTTGGGTGTAATGACTGGTAGTCTTGCAATGGTCATGATTATGAACATAATTGTGTTTATTTAGTGCTTTGTAGCAAATGGGGCTGAAGATTATATACGACACTGGATATCTTAAGTTGACTCTACTGAATTCCTGAAACTACGTTGGTTGGTTTTTCTTTTAAAAAGAAAACAGGTGAACAAATGTGTGTGGGATCTAGTTTTGCAGCACAGAAGGTGAACTTCTGACACTCACAGATTCTGTTGAGGATGGCGCCAGGATTACAAGGTTTGGGAGACGGGGCCATGCAGAGCTCCATGGGAAGGAAGGGGATGACTCAGAGGTCTGGGTTTTGTGGTGACTCACAGAAAATGAGATACAGGGCTCGGTAAGATTAGTCCTGATGATCTTAGGGCAGATGGTGGTGGTGATGATCTAAAACTGGGAATTTAAGAAACAGCTAAATTCTAGTTGAATTCTATGTTCACTCACATATGGGTTACTATACCTATTCTGAGCTGATTTATACCCATATCCCCCAACCCCATGTTTAGAATTGCAACGTCAGGATGCTGTATTAACTTCTATTTTTCAGAAAAACCAGACACTTTATTTGAGGAGTTATCTTGTAAAATTGAACCAGGGAAAAAAAGAAAACAACCAGGATTCCTCAGAGAAGGCGGACCCCAGGGCCAGGGAGAAGTTGCCACTGGAGCCCAGATCATCTTGTGCAAAAAAAGAAGGAGGGGCCGAGAGCACTGGGGGCATGTCAGGAGACAGCTGCAGACCGAACGCACGCCACTTCTGGGCAATTTTACCGTCACAGGAGGTGACAACAGGAATGCATTTGTAACATTATCCACAGCATCAATAAAAATGAATAAATAACGGTGAAAGGAGAGCTCTGCCTTATATCAAAACACTAACGAGTGTAGAAAGAAAACGGTAATTTTTTAAATTGCCATTTGGCTTTCACCAAAGTAATACTTGATTCTAGCAAGAATCATCCATCAATGCTAAAACTGGTGAGTAAGGGTGTGGTTAAGAAAAAAAGAACAGGACATTTATATAGTTTCAAAACATTTCTTCATAAAACATGAACTCATTAATTTACAAGCCCAAATACAAATGAACCAACCTCAGGCTGGAAACAGTTGGGGAAAATGATCTGAACCAAGTAATAAAAGGTGCCACCACCAGAAATAAACTGACAGCATGTGCTCTCTAATAAGACGCCTTGAGAACACAGCATTACTTCTAAGTATTCTTAGCAAAAATGAGTAATCCTGGAGGAAATTTCGCCAAACCCAAACTATGGCATTTTCTATAAAGTAACTGCCTTGTACTTTTATATAAACTCTATACTTTATTTAGGTTTCTTTAGTTTTTAGCTAATCTCTCTTTTTAGTTCTAGGATCCTATCTGGGGGGTATGCATTCTTTATGGTCAAGTGTTAATATATCAAATTATTCATTTTAGAAAACCAATGTATTTTTCCTATTTAATTATGGAAAGTTCATGTCATTTTTGAGATTTATCTATTAAAAAATACTGAGTCTTGCCCTGGCTGGTGTAGCTCAGTGGATTGACCATGGCCTGCAAACCAAAGGATTGCCAGTTTGATTCCCAGTCAGAGCACATGCCTGGGTTGCAGGCCAGCTCCCCAGTAGGGGCCACATGAGAGGCAACCTCACACTGATGTTTCTCTTCCTCTCTTTCTCCCTCCCTTCCCCTCTAAACATAAATAAAACCTTAAAAAAAATTAAGTCTTAATCTGGTTTATGTTTTATAAATTAAAATGGCAGATCTGTGTGCAAGGATGTAAAGGGCATCATGATTGCAGGTTATGGGTAACAGTTACATTTTTAAGATTTATTCTGCCTGAATGTTTTTTACAGAATCGTTTCCCATCTCACTGCAAGTAGGAGTATGTGGTATAATGACACAATTCAGCTTAAGAAATTTAATTTACTTTATGGACTACTGCCTACATCTTTGATAATCTTGTCCATGACCAAAAAAAAAGGAAAGAAAGAAAAGAAAAAGGAACAGGCTTCGGTTTTGGAGGATGCCTGCCTAACGGAGCACATACACACACATGCCCACGCGGGAGTAGGTACTGTCACCCCGGCTCAGTGACAAATGAAGGCCAGGAGAATCTGACGGTCAAGACGGTGACCACAGAAATCTGAGTAGTCAACTTCAAACCCCAACTCTGCTCTCCCTTGCAGCCTAACTAACTTAGGGCGGATGATTCAACTACATTATTAAAGTTCGAGAAAATGGGGAGACATTTCTACCTCCCAGGACTGTTACACAGAATAGTGAGATAAGGCACACGAGGCAATTAGCCGAGTGCTGACATGTAACAGTGAGCCCTTATAAGTAATGTTCGCCGTTATTGTTGCAACATACACAGCTGAAGACTCTAATACAAATGGCTGGGGAACAGCGAACCCCAGTGTATGGAGACTAGCGAAAGTCAGGGTCCGCCGACCTTTTATTTAGGAATGTGAGCTACTTGACTTCGTCTCCAGTAGCCCTGTTCTCAGTCAGTGGCTGCCACCCACGTTTTCTCTGCCCCCGTTGACATCTCACTGTGAACACTCACTATCCATGACCGTGGAACTCACTTTTTAATTAAAGCACAATGCCCTCACAAATACACTTCTCAAACTCAAAGCCAACTTTGTGCTTCAAGCACTACAGAATGCCAAAATAATTTGGATGGTGATGACGATAAAGAAACATGCTGACTATACTGTAAAAATACAGTTTTGAACAATGCAACAGTGTCATTTTGGGGAAACAGTAGGAGCAGAGAGGTTGCTCTGAGCAACAAAAATTAAGAGATGAATCACTTTTCTTTCTGATGTGGGTGCACCACCCACATCCAACACTCTCAGCAAGGCTGGTGCCTATCCTCTGTCACTACCTGTCTTCCCTGTTCGAAAGTTGTACCTCCCCTAGAATTCTTATCAAGCTTACTGAATGCAGGATTACTCACGATCGACCCCTTTTACTGGTTGTGTTTGCCAGTGTGTTTGCCTTGTAGGTTGTACTTTAAAAATTATTTATAAAGCTCTACTATAAACACGTTACTATTCGTACAAAGTGTTGTCTGGAGTTTATAATGATGAGTAAGATAACATAGTTTTGCCTTAGAATAATACCAACAGGGGTCAGCAAGTTATGACTATCAGGTCAAGTCCAGCCTTTCCATCTGTTCACATGTCTCTGTGGCTGCTTTTTTACCGTAACAGAAGAGCTGAACTGTTGTGACCAAGATCAATGCCTTTCAAAGCTGAAAATATTTACCATTTTGATCCTGTACAGAAAAAGTTTGCCAACCTCTATAGATGTAAGTTTGACAAAAATGACCCATTTTACTAAATGCCCATGCAAAAGCTGTAACTAAGAATTTCAAGAATTCAGGTTAGAGAAGTCACTTTCAATAGGGTTGCTTCAAGACTTTTTGGAGGTACCAACAGAAACAGGACTAAAGCAGTGAAAATAGATTTAAAAGCTTTTGGACGACAACAAAAAATGGTGTAAATATGTGAAGCAAGGAAAAAGTGAGACAGAGGACAGAGTTTGCAATTAGTTTGGGCATAAACTCTCTTATGAAGATTTGCAAAGGTCTGTTCATCTTTACAATTCTTCTAATCTTCAGGTGTTTTCTAGAAATCACACACCATATGCTTTTAGGATGTCTCCTAACTGTATGCTTCCCTTCCAGCTGGTAACCCCCCTCTGAAGAGGCAAACTCACAGATGAGAATTTGGTGACGAGTAAACATTGTAAGTAATGGTATTCCGTGAAAGAGTGCTTTAAGTTAACCTTCTTAATCTTTTCTGTCATTTGATATTTCGTATTTACTCAGCACCAAGAGAATGAGATATTCTCTTCCTTCCAAAGCAGAGCCACGCGATTAGGCAGCATATTAATCTGCAAAGATTACTCCTGTGTTGCTCTTTTCGTTCGTGTGCATTTCTTTGTCCCAGTTGTGCGAGGCGGGAAAGCTAGATGGATCGAGGGGAGTCCTAGTCTCAAAAGACAAAAAAATCATTTGGTTAAATCAGAGAGGATACATTACATTAACAGGTCTAGAGGAGCTATTTCAAAGGGCGTTTAAAAACGAAGGTTACATAAAAAATCCTGTTGTAGGAAGACAATTTATTCTTACACATATATGCAAAAATATCAGGCTCAATACTAAAAGGTGCCACTATGCTACCTTTTGGCCAGTTATCCAGATATGGCTATATTTTCATACCCTGCTTTATGTATTTACAACCTAGGAGAATGGTGTACTATAGTTTTCAAAAAAAATAAAACCAAAAAAAAAACCCCCAAAACCAAACCAGTATTTATTATAGAGAAAACAAATATCTTAACAATGTATACATTTGAAAATAAATATATACAGAATTTCAAAACAAACCCCTTCAAAATCATATGTAAGCAACGGCGTCCAAGGAATTCAGACACCACGTGACACTTAGGATATATGGTGTCTCGGAGATTAAATGTTCTTTCTTGCTTATTATTCTGAAATCTGCATTAGACACAGGTTGCTTCCAAGGTAGTTTTCTCCACAGCCAGGCATCTTGATGGGTCAAAACCCAGTTTCATTTTCTCCAGTACTACAAAAATTAACAGCAAATAAACAAAAAATAATTAGCTTCATCGTTCACAAGAAAAGATAAACAATAGACTATAGTTTTATAAAATGCTTAGAGATGATCACGCGTTTCTTTTATAGGAAAAATAAAGCCCTTAGCTAAAGCCAGTCCTTTTGAAAACAATCTTCTACTAAAAAAAAGTGAAAAAATTAATTTATTAAGTGCTACGAAGAGGATTCTCATTAACCACAATGTACAAGATTCCTGAGACTTGGCTTGAAAAACAGTTTTATGAAAACATATTTTAGAGAAGGAATGTTTGCATGACCTGATTATCATGACCTGGCTAACATCTCACTGAATTTTGTGGTGATAGGCAATGTTTTGAGAAGTGTGCCGAGTTCTTGGTGCAACAATTTTAGAGAGGCCGTGAACACCTGTTGTTCATCCCACACACAGTTACCTCCCCAAATACTTCACTCCACAACCATTTCATTCCAGCAAATGTCTGGAAGAAAATCAAAAGAAGCAGTCCTGATAGAATAGGACAGATCCGGTCAAGAGTTATTTGGGTGCCAACACATTAACAGTGCTCAGTATTCAAATAGCAAGTAGAAATAAAATAAATCCGCATTTATAGCACCTATTTTGTGCTAGGCACCCTCTTTTTTAAATTTTATTTTAATTGTTGTTCATGTATGTTTTCTGGGTTTTACTCCCATCCCAGCCGACCCACTCTGCCCCCCTCCCTCCCATTTCTACCCTCCCTAGTTTTTGACCATGTGTCCTTCATACTTGTTCCTATAAATCCTTCCCCCTTTCCCTTGAAATTCCCTTCCCCCTCCCCTCTGGTCACCGTCAGCCTGGTCTCTGTTTCAGTGTCATTAGTTGTATTTTGCTTGTTTGTTTTGTTATTTAGGTTCCTGTTAAAGATGAGATCATGTGGTATTTGTCTTTCACCACCTGGCTTATTTGACTCAGCATAATGCTTTCCAGTTCCATCCATGCTGTTGAAAAGGGCAGGAGCTCCTTCTTTCTTTCTGCTGCATAGAATTCCATTGTGTAAATGTACCAGTGTTCTGATCCACTCATTTACCGATGGGCACCTAGGCTGCTTCCAACACTTGGCTATTGTAAATTGTGCTGCTATGAACACTGGGGTGGGCACCCTCACTCTTATCTCCGAGGACGTTTATAAAGAAGTGTGACACTTCACCCCTTCGTTATTAGCATTGCTCAAAGTTTGTATTCAGTAAAACTGGTAGAAGACTGCTACCTATTACTTTTGAGCACTACTCAATGCAGAAACAATCAGCAACGGTTAAAAGTTGTCTGTAGCACAGACAGATGCTACCAGTCACCCACCCGTTCAGCAGGGACAACTCTGAGCACTCTGTTCAGGTGAAGAGACCCTGGGTCACCCACGCCTCTGTGCCCTCTTGTTCAATGCCACATATGCTGGCCCTATCTCAGAGGAATTAAGAACGTTGTTTTTGTGTTAACAAACCTTTGTTCCTACGAACTTCACCTCATTATTATTCTGAGGAAAAACATGATGGAAAACACCCTCACTGACAATGTGTTTGTGTGCGCACGTGTGTATAAAAATGTGAAAGATGCTGACTGATTTTAATTTGATACAAATTAAAGAGTATGGTAAGACTTATTTTTAATGGTAATAAAGAAATGTAACATACAATTTAAGAAGTTGTTTAAGTGTTTTCTTAAAGGCAATATGAGAGAAAGTAAACTTTTCAAATAGTCCTCGGTACCCATATAAAACCACGTACACTTAACCGCTGCCTACTCTGTGACAGGAATCAGCTTCTGTGAGAGACTCCGAGTTCCCGAACACAGAAAGTTTACATTCGGAGAGTCACAACACACACACACACACACACACACACACACACACACACACAAACACAAACTGGGTGAGTGGGCGGGGACTCATCCCAGGCAAAGAGCACGGATGCTGCTTGGTGGGGGCAGGGGGCCCAGGGCGGGGAGGAGCTGTCACACGGGCAGGTCGTCAGAGCTACAAAGAAGGTTCTTTCTGACTGCTGGTGGAAGAAGATAAAAGTTAAAATTTCAGGTTAAAGTCAACTTGTGGAGAACCCTCACTGACATGTCAGGAAGTCTAAAAACCGTGGAAACCATGAAAACCCACACAAGTTAAGTATGTGTAGGCCTGTGTGAGAGAAACGCTGCTGCTACTGAGCAAACGGCTGATAGAGTCCCCAGACACTTCACAGTGCATGTCTGTGCAAAGGAGGAGAAGCACGAGTGACAGCCGTGCAGCAGAGTCCGTCCCACTGGTTCAATGCCCTGTGCACCTGAAAGGTTTATTTACACCAGAGGGTCTGATGTGACATGGGGCAGGAAAATGGCAGCAGAGCAACTGACCTTATTAAAAGTAGTCATCGAAGCAAACAAGCAAATCTTACCATGGATTACAGGTAAGTGCTTGCAAACTTTCTTTAAAGAAGTTAAGGAAATTAAACTTATGTAGAAGAAAAATAAACTGCAGGACATTTTAGCTGAAAAATTATGGGACATTCTGCTGACTGCTGCTGCCACAAAAGACCTCAACACTTCCATCTCGCATGCCGCTGACCACAGTGCGACAGGAGAGCTCACCTGGGTCGGCGAGACTCAAGATGAGCTGGGTCAGCCTCCAGAACAACATGTCTGTCCCTATATACCACGTTTGTCTCAGATTAACTGTTTCCAGTGCCTCCTTTTACAGCATGCTCTATTAGCTCTTTGCACAGCTGGTTTTTTTCTTTTGGTGATCAGATGAAAGACTAAAGATTAAAGGATTGTACTTAATGTACAAGGATACTTTTAAAAACAAGCTATTCACAATAAAGTTTATTCATACCTAACAAAGCTTAGATGTAGAATGAGAAACATTTATAAGCTACCGTCTATTTCTACAATCCAGGGTTTGAGTTTGAATCTGGTTTTTGTCACCAGTTGATCTTGAGAACTTGGGCAAGTTATCTAACCTATCTAAGCCTCAGTTTCCTCGCCTGTAAAATGGGCCTGGCGGTGCATCTACCTCACAGGTGTGAGGACTCAAGGAGGTGATACAGAGAATGCATTTTACGTAATTCCTGGCACATTTAAGTGTTGAAGATGCTGTTACTATTACTAATACTATTGCTTCTTTGCTGCTGTTCTTATTCCTCTCAGGGTAATTAGAACAAATTAGGAACAGATTAAGGCAAAATGATGCAAAACAGTTTTGTATGATTCGCTGTTTTATGTTATTTATTTAAGCCACTGGTTTGGGAATTATGGGGCTCTTTAGAAAATTGTGTACTAAATTAAAAAGCATTTGGTTTTAGAGCAGAAGAATTTCTTCCGTAGAATTCAATGCATTTTGTTTTGTTCAATGAAATATTTTACATGGCTGATCTTTATTCCTAATGGTAAAATAAGGCCCATATAACAAAACTCAGAAATCATGCTCTGTTCTCATTGGGCATCTTTTCAAACATCTTACACTGGGTGTCTGTAAAACAGGAATATAAATAAACAAAACTACTAAGAAAAGCTCTTCAGAAAATAAAACACTAGAGACAGCCATCCCTCAAAAAGTGGAAAACAGGAGCTTTTCCTCCTAGTACAGTACTGATGGCAAAGACAAAACAAAAACCCGTTTCTTTGAGCAGATGGGGCAGATGACTTGCGCTCAGAGGCCACTGTGTATAAAAACGAGAGCCAGCGACACTGGACTCGCATTCAGCACGTGAGGTGTCCTGTCACGGGAGGCTCCAAGGGTCTGACAGCCTTCGGAGGCGGAGCTCCTCACCCTTTATTAGAGGACACACACGCTCTTCAGAGGGAATGTCGGGCAAAGTAACCACACCCTTTCCCTTCTTTCATTGTTGTTTTTAAACACCCCCAAATATATATAAGTCCTCTTGAGTTACAAAAACATAAGATGTGACTACACACTCAGGTGCCCCTCTCCCCAGGCTTGTGCTTTTTGTTCTTGAATACCGCAGGGCTAAGCAAGTATTCTCGCCAAAGGGACAGCAGTGATGACTTCTTGGTGTCTTAGGTAAACTTCCTGAACCTAACCTGTTCTTGTATTTTTGTGCTCAAGTCTGGAAAAACACATCTCTAACCCCAGTTAGTCTGCCAAGATGCACTGAGTTAATTAGATTTAATGTGGATTATGATGGATGGGAACCACACCCCATTCTCCAGACCTCTGCCATCAATCCGGGAGGAAAGACGCAGGCAGGCCAAGGAAACAGGGGGGAAGTGGGCTGCAGCGCGAGAGCCCCAGTTTTAGAGCTATTAGCGACCCAAACTGTGTGATCCCTACCTTTCCGTGCAAGAAAGGCTAGAAAGCCCATTAAAGACCATTTCAGCGGGGAGAAGAGTTCTGATGATGTAATTTTAGACACAGTGACCCAAATACAAGTGTTTTTCAATGGGAAATTTGCTCTACTAATAGGGTGTTGCTAGGTAGCAAATACTGCAGTGTTTAATCTCTACCCTTTCCAGGGAGTGGCACAGTGGAAGAAGTACAATAAAGTTCAGTGTTGCAAATAACAATGGGATCCGGCAGTTTTTAAGTCGTGTTAGAATACTGGTTCGTTTACACCGAAACAACTATGATTTTTGTTAACATTTATACCAGTCCACCTCCATTTTTTAAAAAACTGAGTTCTATAATCCATAGTGATTAACAGGAAGGCACTAAAATTAGCATAAATCAATAGGCAATATGCATCCTTAAAATAAATGCTGTGAGTGAAAAAGATGTTGGTCATCAGATTTGAGTGTGCATGTGATTCAATGAGTATCAATACTTAGAAAATATATGTAGAAATATGAGTTTCAAAAAAGAAAATAAACTTCAGAGATTAGTTAAGAACCAGGTACTTCTCTAACTTCATACTTTGATCAGACTTAGGCGAAGCTAAGACATTATTTAGTATCTCTTTGTACCCTTCAATACCTAATCAAGCTCGGATGAAATTTAGCATCCGTAGGTTACTCTTATTTCGACAGTGTTTCAGTGGCATAGTATTATGAGCACAGGTAATATGTTTAAGAAAAGCTAAAAAATAACATGAACATTTTCAAGTTCATTTTTTAGGATAAAGAATAGGGGATTCTGGTAAAGAATATCTGTATTTTAAAACATTTAAAAATATTTGATTAATTTATTTTCCAAGAGAGAGGAAAGAAAGGAGAAAGAGAGTGAGAGAAACAATTGGTTGCCTCTTCCCCTAACTGGGGACCTGCACTGCAATCCAGGCGTGTGCCATAAGCAGGAATTGAACAGGTGACTTTTTGGTTTACAGGCCTGTGCTCAATCCACTGAGCCACACCAGCCAGGGCAAAACAATTTTTTATGTGGTTTAGTCTTCTCATCTATAAAAGAGGATAATGCTAAAACTCACTTCGATGGTTATAGTGAGAATTATATGACATTAAAAAGTTGGAAACACAATATGAAGTAAAAAGTTCAAATAGAGGCTACTGTCTCAGATGTTACAAAATGGAGATATCTGAAAAAGTGTATCTGCATAAATATCCATGTTGCATTAAAGCTCTACTGTTAAAGGTCTAGAACAATTACGGTGGTCTTTAAGCAGCTGGAATCAGCTGTTTCCAGCTTCTGTCACAAACTCCTGTCACAGGAGTTTGTGACAACGAGGCTAAAGTTATTCAGAATTTCTCTATCTTATCTATTTTAGTGAGTAACTGGACTCTAGCAAATGGACTTAATGCTTCCTCCCAAGAAATATAATCATCTATTAGTTAATGGTTATAAAGTGACCTTTCCCATGTCTAAGGTAGGAGTATGACAATCTCTATTACTAATTCATCATTCATATTCACATCTCTGTGAATAGAAAAGGTACAAGGCATGACTCTCATTTCTGAACAACTTCATAATTTAATTACTGGGGAGGGAATTTCCTTTATTTAGTCTGTGAGGTGGTCAATATTAGCTTTATTTATGGAAGGCAATGACCTTTTGTGCATCTCTGATGTCAGGTTAAATTTCACCTCGCTATCAATCACTTTACAAATGTAGACAATGAGGGCCAGAGATACTGGCAAACCAAGGCCCCTTTATTACTACCTTTCTAAATAACTGTATGGTTCCTTTTTTATCAAGCTCTTCCTCTCCTTTATTTTTAATACAGAATGAAGCAAAAATGGTCCTTCTAGTCTTAGATCTAGCTAGCAAAGCAAACCATACAACCTTATGCAAGTTGACAACGGAATTTCCAAACTAGACCACTAGTTCAATTTATGGAACTTCAAAGCCAAGACCTTAAGCTGGAGCATGTGGATGAGTGGCTGCTAAGTCTTCAAAGATGACGCGCTAAATTCCCCTCCTCTACACATGCACCGTCTCCTCCCACCAGGAGGCAGAATCTCTTTCTCCTCCCTGTGAACCTGGCCTGACCTTGTGACTTGTTGCAAGAGGCATTTTGTTCCTGCTTTCCCGGTCTCTTTGGGAAGCCAGGTGCCATGCAGGTGACTGGCAGCTGGGGCTAGAGTACTGTATGGTTAGACTATTTGCTAGCCCAGGAAAAGATCAAAATTCACCATTCCAAGTACGGTTTCTACTGAATGGGTATCACTTTCACACCATCATAAAGTTGAAGTCTTTAGTCAAGCCATCGTAAACCGGGGGCCTTCTGTTAGTTAGAATATTAGTGAGAAAAATGACAGAAAAGGATAATTAAAGGCATGACTGAAGACCCAAATGGGCTTCGTGACATACTGGATGCTGGGTGACGGAGAAGTCCAAGCAGACAGGTTGTGAGGCTGGGAAATTAGGAAAACTATTATTAGCTGTGTTAAGAGGTCAGGAAGGAGTTCACAAGGAGGCATGCGAGGTGTAAGAGAGGTAAGAGGACTGTTTTTCCTGTTTGCTATCCATTTTCATAATCCTCATTATGAAATTCATAATTAAGACAGGTTTTACATCTAAGGTTTATCATCATTAGCTAGTGTAAAAAGGTCTTCCCTCAGACATTTTTATGAAAGATTTTGCTAACAGTAATTCTACGGAAAGACCTTTCCAGGGTGTGGCATGCATTGCTTTTCTAAGCTTCGAAATTGTTTCCTAGAACTTCACCGTTCACTGAAACCTAGCAGTGTTGAAGTCTCATTTGCCAAGGCCTCTACTAAACCCAAATTCATTCTCAGCAAAGACTTACAATCACCACAAAAGGATGGGACACCAATGTTGACACCATGATTCACTACACAATTTCACCTCCCACTGAGAAAATTAAGTGGAATGTTTTATGACTAGTTGTGCATGGAACATGTTCACATCAGCTGGCTGGTTTGAGCTGTCAGAAAGCCTTGACCAAAAAACAAACAAACAAACAAACAAAGAAACAAACCACCAACCAAACAAAAAAGCCCAGAGGAGACATCAGTTGGCATGAGAAAGTGCGGCTGTGGGCCAGAGGACTCGGAGCAGCCCGTGGAGGAGCGGAGGTGGCCGCTCTGCCCTCGGGGAACCCACCTGCGCGAACTTGTGAATCTGCTCCACCACCGCGGCGAAGACGGCGTGGACGCTCTCGTCGATCAGGCTCTGCATGTAGTGCACCGCCTCCTCATCCGACAGGTCCAGGCGGAACTTATCCTGAACCTACAGGGTCACGCGGTTGGAAAGAAGGCATGGCCGAAGAGACAGAATTAAACTGATACGGACAGGACACTATATCATGAGCTACTTCTATGCCAAAGAAGCAATTCGTCATTTATAAGGAGTTCTGGGTACAGTTCATGTGACTGTGGAAGTTCACTGAAGGTAAAAAACTGTTCTCTTAAGGTGTGCTTTATTTTCTTACATATCAAATCTGCTACTGAGTTTAAATTATCATATTTATTAACAGTCCCCTTTACATTTTTCCTGTTATTCATTGTGAAATGGCTATAGCGAGGTGAAATTATATTTGTTAAATAAGGGTGCTTGTTAATGGGTGTTTGTTACATGAACATTTATATTTTTATGACTTAATCATGTTTCCCATAAAAATATCAAAAAACTATTATAATCATCCTGCTCATTGTTAAAATTAGTCTGTCCATTATGCTTTAGTTATAGTAGAACTATAAAACTTTGCTTTTATCAATATGTATTACTTTTACCAGATTACCTGGATACCTTTGCCTAAATTCTTACTGAATTAAAACAACATTTGAACAACCTTCTGATAGCACCAAGCAACACGTGACACACTAACCAACCACCAGTAACTTGCTGATGTGTGTGATTAATGATTATGGGTTTTAAATTGTGACCCCATCTCACATTCTCGGGCGACTGAGTTTCTAAGAAATAAATCTGATGAACAAAAATATACATTCCATATATAAATAATCAGCTTCCAAAATTAAGCAAATTTAACGTATTAAAATAAGTTACAGAAACAGCAAAATATTTTTGCGCTTTGTTATGATTACTCAAATAATTTGAGTGACCTGTACCCTTCTGAAGATTTCACCTCAAAAATGCTATTCTATCTCTCTACCTGGCTTCCCTTCACGAGGTGAACAAAAAATTTCCGCAAGTTGTAATACTTCAAAGTAGTGTCACTGTTGTTATTTCATCAAAGTATAAAAATCTACTTCTTTAAAAAGCCAACCAACATGAAACAAATTTTAGCCTTTCAGCATAACTTCCCAATAATATTATGAATTTATTGTCACTTCATGATGTAAGTGATTACATCACATGCTTGACAAAACAACAGAAAACAAAGAAAACTTTTCTGAAACACACTTTTGGGGAAAATATGGTGGAACAGCTTTTTTTCAGGGTTTACTTTAGTGGAACAAACAGGTTGGGAGCACTAGTCTAAAGAAAAGTGAGTATGAACATGCTTTTTTCTTTATCAAATCACTTGTTTCATGCGTTAAAAACTAGTGCCACAGAGATGGCTGGTAACAAAAGGGTACTGTCCGTAATAAAATCACGCTTTTCTAAGAGAAACTGAGATGGAACGAAGCTCTAATAAGAACAAGAACAATATAACTTAGTTGGCAGAAGAAATTGGAAGACCCAGCGTGACAAATACTGTTGGAACTTTCAGAAACAGTTTCCAAACACTGGGGAAGCCAGGGAACAGTGAACACACAACAGAGATAAATGGGTTTAAAGTAAACAGCTAAAGAGAACCAAAATACAGCAATGCAAAAGAAAAAAAAACTGAAATCTTGGGGCAGGCATCAATTATGGCTAAGGAAGTTTTTATCAACCAATTATTATTTCTTAATAAATGAGTTTTAGTCAATAAAAAATAAATAAAATGACAAAATAAGCCATGCTAAAAGCTAGTGTGGTAAGTAGTCTATTTTCTAAGAAGGAGTAAAGGTGGTTATTGAAACTGTGATTGCTGAATAAGATAATAAATAAAATCCTAGTAAGAGCATAGTTTTCGTAAATGGCCAAATATTTAAATTGAGATCCCCCTCACTGTTTGCCAAAAACTTACAAATTAGGTAAAAAAGATCAGCCTCGTTCGTGTCTGCAGTGCCCATGCTGACGTGTGACCTCCCAGTGCAACGGTGTGGGAGGGGAGGCTCTCGGGGGTACGCAGGTCCTGAGGGCGAGCTCCTCATGGACGGGATCGGTGCTCTTACGAAAGAGCCCCAGATCCTTCTGCCACGAGAGGCCACAACGAGCGGCCTCCGACCTCACACAGTCCCTCACTGGATCACGCTGGCCCCTCTGGTATCGATTTCCCAGACTCCAGAACCTCCGAAATAAATTTCTGTTGTTCAGAAGCCACCCAGCCTCTGGCATTTTGGTATAGCAGCCTGAAAGGGCTAAGACAATGTTCAATCCACAAGGGTTTCTTTCTAATAACGTACAGGAGCAGTTCTGTCGGAGGTCGGGGCCCTTGGGGCCAGGCAGTATTTGCACCCTCCAGAGAAATCCCATCTCTGACACTGCTACTGCCCCTCAGTCATTTTAAACTTCGACAAGTTGAAAAACTACACTCTCTTTCTTTGAAGTTCAATATTGATAATCATACTGATATTTAAGGTCAACTCTCATGTTATCTTTGAGTAAATAAAGTGCCCCCTCTGTCTCAATGAAGCAAGAGTCAGAAATTAATTTGGACAAAAACCTTCAAATACAACACCCTTCCTCCCATCTCTTGCTGAAAACTCAGGGTAAGACAGTTCTGAGTAACTGTTTATCTACATGATGGTTTTCCTTTGTTCTTCTCTTTGCAGGCTGAGTAAAAAAGCCAGTCTCTACTCTCCCGATACAGTACGAAACCTCTGTAACCATATGTATGAATGGGAAGGATAAAGAATGGTTGTTTTCTCCTAAAAATATTAGAATAATTTGTTTATGGTCCTTAGCATGCTTAACCTGAGAGCCCCAGGAATCAGGTATCGATACCTGTTAGGAATGTTAAGGAAGAGCTAAGCTTTTTTCAGGATGAAGAGTAAGGGCTGTGGTAGGAAGCTTTCTCTCTAAACATAGGGACCTATTCATGCGGCAGAGGGTGTGAACACAGAAAAGGTCAGGGCTGGCCGCAGAGGACTTGAAAGGCTGCTGTATTCTAAAATATAAAAAAATTACACACAAGGTCTCCTTGCTAATTTGTGTTACCTGAGAATCTAGGGGCTGGCACAAAAGGGTTGTTAAAACCCTAACACCTTTTATGTATAAAAGGAGACTGCGATATCTAAGGATATACACAAATTACCTTTTTCACAGTTTTATCTGGTTCAAGAGCAATATCTGGAATGTTTGCATCCACCATCAAGGAAAACAAGTTCAAAATCAGATTCGAATACCTACAGGAGAATGGGGAAGAAAAAAATAGCAATGCATTAGAACTCTGCATTTCTTATCAAAAATACTCCTAGAAACAGTGGTGCCTGGATCTTTGACACAGTTTCTGTTACTCCCATGGAAAACAGAATGTGAGACTACTCATTAGGTGTCTCAATGAGAAGCCAGCCTTGAAAAAATCATCTCACTCTGGGGCCTTGATAGAACACCATTCTAGGTCCCACGCCACGGAACGAACTGTTCCCAGTGTTTTTAGAGAGCATATTCTTTTTCATGGGGTCTAAGGAGAATCCACCTTATACCTAACTTAGCATGTTACTAAGCAATAAAAGATCCGTCTTTGCTAAGTGATGACAGGAACCTGCCACTTTAAGACAATCTCAGAGCCACAGGTAAATGAATGAAAGAGAAACCCTGCCATCCCACTAATCATTTAGGAGTGTCCTCCAGGGGTACTAATCACCATTCTAGAAACTACAGCAACTGGTCTGAATATAAGCAATGCTAAATGAAGGAGGAAACAGCAAGTGTCCTACTATGTAAAAAATGGGCAAGATACTTAAATTTTAATACCATCTTTGGGTTATGCTGACCCGACAGGGACTAACGGTTTATCCTCACCAACCCTCAGACTTTTCATCTCACTCCACACAAAGAGAAGAAATGTTACTATTCTAAACGTTCATTTCCACAGGGGGGCCTTGTGGGGAAAGGGAGAATAAAGTGTACCCAGGGCGCAGTCCCCCTCCTGTCCCAGAACACTCTCTTCTCGAAGAGCACACTCTCGGGGGGCCCTCAGCACCTACAGGAGATTCAGGTTTGACTTTGGAGAAGGATGTGGGTAAATGAAGCTTTGGTTCCAGGCAATGACGGCTTTTATCTGGTCTCGGGCACCGTGTCAACACAACCGCCTCGCGCTGTCTTCTCTAGCGGGTGGAGGTGAGGATTTGGGAGATGCAGAACCTGCATTCCAGCCATTTACCAACCGGTAATATAAAAAAGCACCACTTGTTACATAAAAACTAGTTAATATTGGAACTACAACGATAATGTCCTTACAGACAAAAATAACTAGCCACATAAACCTCAAATTCCTTATTTTATCATCATTTTTAAATTTCATATTGCCCATGAAAACCAAAAGCAACTATAATGAAAATTTCTACTTTGACATAATCTTCTAATTAGGCCTGGATAAAAATTCTTAAGGAGGGTGTTAAAGGGAAAAGAGATCCAGAACGCTTATACTGATAAGTGAGGTTCTAGATAGTTCAATATGTAGAAGGAGCCAGAAGAGGAAATCAGCAGAGACGGAGTGGCCAGTAGGGAAAAACGGAAACAGCAGAGTGGGCTGCACCAAGTATCGGAAAGGTTTTAGAAATGAAGACGGGGTCAACTATGTCAAAGAAGCTAGGAGCAAAAACGGCAACTGGACTTCAGAGGTGTACCTGCTGAGCTTTGTAAGTTAGTTTCAAAGGGTGAGCACACCTGGAAGCCTCACTAGGTACAGAAGGCTGAAGGAAGAGCAGCAGGCGAGTCAGTGGGGACAGTGAGAACCTTCTACAGCAGCTGCGCAGTGAAGGACAGTGAAGGAACAGGGCAGCAGTACGCATTCAGCACCACCCCGCCCTCCCCCACAACCTGCGACAACCACAACTCTTAGACGCAGCCCAACGTGCCCAGGTGTGGGGGGGAGGGAGGCCAAGTGCACACTAGTTCCCAGCTGAGAGCCACTAACTGAAAACCAGTGGTAAGAACACCACGCCTGCCGGATTTCCTTCAGTAACACAGAGCTGTCACACTGTCTGCCTGAAACAGGAAGAGACGGTCTAAGTAAGTTGGAGTTTCAGCAGGTGAGACCGTAGGACTGGGTAAGAACTGCCGCAGATGAGCTCAGAGGGAGGGCAGGAAGAATGACAGCAATCTGGGGCCATAAAATGCAGTGGGGAGGCGGAAAAGTGAGAATATGAGGGAGGTTATACGTGGTGGTAGGATGTGACAAGACTCGAAGTGCCACTGAGGTTGGAGACCTGCAGGAATGAGGACACATCCAGAAAGCGCCGTAGGGGCAGGTATTGGCTAGAGCGGCGCTCCCCAACCTTCCTGGCACCAGGGACTGACTGGCTTTGTGGAAGACGATTTTTCCACAGACCAGGGTTGGGGGAGTGGGACGGTTTCAGGACGATTCGAGCACATTACCTTCAAGCTCACCTCCTGCTGTGTGTGGCCCTGTTCCTCACAGGCCAGGGAGGGTACCAGTCTGTGGCCTGGAGGCTGGGGACCTGTGCGTTAGAGTGGAAAGCTTGGGATCAGGAGTGGGAGGGGCAAATTTGCCAGTACTGATGAAGGGAGTGGCCAAGGCTGGGTCTAAATGAAGATAAGACCCGAGGAGGGCAGGTCATGGCTGGACCAGTCACGTGGATGTTGAAGTCACAGTACTAGTGATGGAGAAGACAATGGAAGTTTTCAATGAATGGGTGACAGGGAAAGAGGCAGATGACAGATAGCAGTGGGTAGTACATCTGACGGTGTGTTCTCATGGTGTGTGCGTGTGTCGGCTTTTCTTCTTTAAGAAAAAAGAAAAGAAATGGCAAGGAAAGAAAACAGTTGGGCAGTGGCAACAGGAGGCAAGAAGGGCACAAAGCCCCTCTCGCAGCTCAGGGGTATGCAGGACGTAGAAACGAAGGCTCCACCTGGGAGGACTGCGGGGCCCCAAGTGTCAGCAGAGGACAGCCAGCTGCTACATGTTACGTTATGAAAAAAAAAAGATGCTTTTTCAATAAAGCCTCACTCACTCATACTCTGCTTTGTTGATTACACACATTTTCTCCAATCTGGCCATCAGGGAATCTCGGGAGTCTACCAGAGTAACACAGGGGAGGGGAATACGAGGCTCCATTTTTGAAGACTTATGTTAGAGCAGGCGTGTCAAACTCATTGTCACCGGGGGCCACATCAGCTTTGAGGCTGCCTTCGAAGGGCCGAAATAATTTTAGGGCTGTATAAATGTAACTGCTCCTTAACTGTTAAGGAGCTGAAATTACATTCGGCTCTTTGAAGGCAACCCCGAGGCTGATGTGGCCCCCGGTGACAATGAGTTTGATACCCCTGGTTTAGAGATTCTCAAACCTGGCTGACCACTATGTGCACCTGGGAAACTTCATGAAACTATCAGGGCCTGGGCCCAATCCCAGACCAATGAAATCTGATGGGGCCCAGAATGACCACCCCCGCCGCTGGTTCCCCAGGTGATTCCAATGGGCAGCCAGGATCCACATGAAAATGTTGCCTTTATCTAAGTGCAATGAGTTTCTTCGTTTAAGAGGCAAATATCATGTTGTGGATTATATATTGGTTTAAATTTAACCACTCATGCTTCTAATATTATAGCAAAGACAGAACACAGTGACCCAAAACATGCAGTGTATATTCAGTGTCCTGCTCCCCCCAAGACAGATTTAAAGGTTACTAGAAACCTGTAAAACCATCGTAAGAAATGTACCAGGTTAAGTCTGAAAGAATGACACAGTGGAAAAAGTGTACAAAATCAAGTCTAGACAAAGATATAAGGATGGAGATGACATAATCTAATTCTTTAAAAAGGACCGGCCGAGTACAGTGTTCAAAGCAAATGCACTCTCTTTCACCCAAGTTTATGCCAACCACCACGCTGCGGGTTACACAACGATGGTCTACATGTTTCAGCGAAAACCTTCGACGCTAAAAATAGAAACGCATTTAAGTACATCAAGCAAGGTTTGTAGTGTTTCAGGTCTATTTCTTATACAATCTATCTATTTTGCATGCAACGAATATCAGAGTGGAATCCTACAAAAAAGGCTTTTTGTTTTTCTTTTAAATAAATGTACTGCTTCAAAGAGGAAAAACAATGGCATTAATGATGAAAGGAAGCATAATCAATAAATTCACTGCTGTCTGGTGTCTAGGCAAAAACATCATGAAGACAATGAAAGAACGCTCCTTGATGTGGTTAAATGCACTTCTAATCTCAAGGTTTTGACTGAGAAGCTGAGGCCACCTTTGCATCTTCAGTGCCTGGCACGAACATGGGTTAGGAGAATGAGTTATGTTTCCCTCGAATACTTACAATTTAAAATGTTTTAGCATTACTACTGTTTCTTTCCATCGAGAGTATTAAAAAATAAATTTACCAATTATTTACTGGTGCCATGTATTGACACATAAAGAGATAATACATTTTGTTACATGAAAATCCCACCATAAAATGTGTTCTGACAGCTGCACAACAGACTACTCTGAGCGTGTGGCCCACTGTCATTCAATGACCGTTGCAGAAACTGATCAGCAACCTACAAACCCTAATAATAAATGTGTCAAATAAACTGAGCTCCAAACTTCTGACTATCACCAGGCTAATTCTTATGTCCAAAAGGGAATTTTTATTGACTGAACCATTTTCTAAAATACATTAAAAAAATAAATGTTGATCAAATTATTGGTGGGGTGAAAATGGAGACAACTGTACCTGAACAACAATAAAAAAATATTGGGGTCCAGCTAATCTTACCTGAAGTGCACTAAAATATTTTTAAATGAAAAATAAAATAATTTTCATGAAGACTTAATATAAAATTATTTAATCTCTGTGATTTCTGTTAATAGTGAGAAAAGTTAACTTGCGCTCCACGTTAACGACTCGCCTCTTTTTCCTCATTCTGCTGAGTTGATACTAATCCACCATCAACGACAGTTCACAAAGCATAGTTTTCCTTCTGCTCTCAGTAAGTTAGAGCACCTTTGACATTTTTCTACTAGTTATCTCATATCCTGCTGTCTGCCCCCTTACTGAGATCACCAAGGTTCCATCTGGTTTCCTGTGGGCTTTGACTATGGTAAACTTAAAATTGCAGATATTAAAGTGGAATTCTCATCTTTCTGAAAGTGCTTCTGCAACACCAAGCAAATCACAAGAACAGTGGCCTTCTCATTATTTCTTCAGCACTTTTGAAAAGTAAAATCGAGCCACTCTGCCACCCAAAGGATAAACAATGTGGCCGTTTGTAAAATGCATGTCAGAGTTCGTGACATGCGTTAGAGACTAAGTTGACAATGAAGGCCTGCTGGCTTACTGAGTCAATGCAAAGTTAAAGCTGATTAATGCCCTGGCTGGTGTGGCTCAGTGGACTGAGTGCTGGCCTGTGAACCAAAGTGTCACTGGTTTGATTCTCAATCAGGGCACATGCCTGGGTTACGAGCCCAGTCCCCAGCAGGGGCACACGAGAGGCAATCACACATTGGTGTTTCTGTCTCCCCCTCCCTGTCTTCCCCTCTCTCTAAAAATAAAACAAACAAACAAAAACCAAACCAACGGAACCCTGGTTAATATAGGATAACCATTCTCCTGCTATCAGAAGCAGCGACATTACCTTCGAACACAGCCTCACCCCAGATGTGCACAGCAGAAATTCGGTGGGGAGAGGAGGTGTTTCATAAAAATACTGAAGGTTCCATTCAGCAAACACACGCTGGGTGTCTATGCTCTAAGCTCTATATGATATGCGTAAAGGAGCTCACAAGGAGGTCAAGATCGAGCCCACATTCAGAGGCAACTCACTATGTACAGGTTACATTTTCTCCTGGAAGAGAGTATGCAGTATGTCCCCGCAGAATGGATTTTCTGCTGGACTAAGAATACTTTGCATAGTTAGGTTGAAAATGGAGCTAGAGTCAAGTGGTCCCGTCATTTCTGACTATCATCACAGCCATGTCCTGAGTTTATTAAAAAATATGACTTTTATTTTTTCCTGATTATATATGACATTCAGTCCCAAGTAAACTAGACTAAAGAAACATGAAGATAGTGCATTGGAGGAAAAGAATGAATAGAGAAAAAGCAACATTTTTTAAAAGCAAAATGACTGATGAGGTGTTAAGAGACAGAAATCATACGTCATGTTTATTCTGCATTCACTAAACAAACTTCTGAATGATCCTGAAGAGCCAACAAAACTAAGGCTGGTAAAGGTGCCAAACAATAAGAATGACTGTATTAATATCACTCTAACTGAGCTAAATGCTTCACTGATAAAGAAGCAGGAAGTCACTGAGAGAGAAGTAGGAAGTCAGCCAGGCAGGTGGAGAACAACCCAACATGGTGACTGTAACACTTCAAGGCTGGCCTCTGGGGGATAGGAATGATAGCAAGTTCCTTAACGTTTTCCCTATCCCAGCACTGTCAAAAACAGAATACATCTTATTAAAATGATCTCGACCCCTTCATTCTGGAGCCTCTGTGTCTGCCTGATCTCGTGTAATGCCAGCCCGTTTGGTGGGAGTTAGTAATCAGATAGTACAAAGCAAGAAATTCTTTTTCCTTTTACACCAGACTGTCCATCAAAGTAGACATCAGATGTACAACAGAACATATTGCTGCCTGTGTCATTCTAAAAGAGCGATGCTAAAGATGGTATACATTTGAGCAAGTCTATTTTTTTGCTCTATGAAATGAATTTACAGACATTCTCTATGCCGAGCAAATCGACTCACCTGCGAAGGTGGAGAAAAGCCGTGTAACACTGTTTGCGGAACTCCTGGTACTGCTCGCTCTGTGTGCCTCCCATTCCTTCCACCATTTCTTTGTTCAGCTTCATTGGCGGGGGGAGAGGCTTCGGATCCCGACCCAAGATATATCCGAAGTCTATGTGGAAGAGTTTGCCTAGGTGTTGACAAGAAACCCACATGTTTCCATAATTATCTTAAGGGACTAGGAAGGGGCATGACATACAACTGGTAAGGCAGTAACTCTTCATAAAGAATATTAGTTCATGATGAAGTCTAGTAAACTGTTGACCCTCTAATCCCAGGTGCGGAAGGAGCCGACATTCATTCACATAATATTGTGCCTAAAATCATTACATAGTAATATTAAAAAATTTAAATCTCTCTTTGAGATCACCAAGTGAAAGTTGACAAAGCCTGAAGAACTTTTTTTTACAGTATCAGCATAAATAAATACCTTGCAGCAAATTTCTCGTGCAAAAGTTTAAGCAGAAGGCCATTTCTTTGAAACATTCCTAAAACAAAGCCTTCCTCAGACTTACAACAACCCCCACTCCTGCCCCCACCAAAAAATATTCCTTAAATTTCACATTCTACTGTTAGCTTCACCTGAACCACTTCCAATGAATCTACGTCACTCATGGGCCCCAGACTAAGAAACCCAGCAGAGTGCTCCTGTCCGCCAGGAGCTGAACGCAGCTGCACCGCCATGGAGACAAGGCCTGGAGCCGCCGTCCGAACCCCTACACCAGAGATCGTTTCCTTTACCGAACGATTCCCCACAGAATGCATAAAGCATCTTGTGATTTATAAGAAGGTATAAAGTAGGCATACACCTATTTCCTTTAAAACACCTTAGCTAAGTGCACATTAAAGTCATTCACTTCTCTTTCTTCTCCACACAAAACTGTTAAAGAACCATTAAAAATCTTATAATCAAAAATCTTGTTTTATTTATTTTTTATAGTCCTGAAGCCTAGGATAATACCTAGCATACAGGGGCATTCAATGGGCCTATTATGCATTTATTTCACCAATCACATCTCAAATTCACATTTACAGCTTAAGCAACTTCCAATAACATTGTTGATGTAAGAAATTTTCTTCTAGAAACCTGAAAATTCTTATAATAACTTGTTTCTAAAAAAACTGTCTTCATTTCCATGAAGATCTAGAATAAAAATAATAGAGGTCAAATCCGGGTCACCCGGACGCTGCTACCTCACTATCAATACTGCTGTGTTATTCCAGTCTTTTTGGCTGAACTAGTATCAAACAGCAAGGCAACCTCAACTGCTGTAAGCTAACACTAACAGAAGCAGAATTAGCTTTATCTCGAAATTACAGGACAGCATCCTGAGCAATGGAGATTACAAAATAGAGATAATAGAGTTCAAATAGAGAAAAGTATTAAGAATATTCACATAGAGTACGATGTGAACAGCGCTGTGAACTCAAACTCACACTACGTGTAGCATAGATGCAGTACAAATTTGTAACATGACTTCATTCTTAAATCTTTTTTGATTTTCCAGTTATGTAACACTAGATGTACAAGAAGTTAACATCGGATTTTATGTAGTACATATTGAAGATCATAAAATGCAATATGTCAACAAGGGGTTTCATTTCTATTTACAACAGTTTTGTGTATTATTCATGATTGAAAAACACCTTTTCAATCATAGGCCCCAGAGGTCTCTAAATACAATGAAAATCAATTCTGGGGAAAATCCAGAGAGTTCATCACATTTTCAGGTGAAGTCCATGATTCCAAAAACATGCAAAACCAGTTCCAGAGTAAGATTTGATCACTGCAGTACTCACTGGGAACACATCATCACCTAATCTCTTCAGGTTCAAGGGCATGAGCCATCACTGAATTTTTTAAGATTTGGTGAAAAGTGCACGATCAGGATTTCACTGCCTTCAACTAAAGATGAGGTGAGGCAAAAGTAGGTGTACAGGTGTTCGCACGGAAAATAATACAGTAACACACAATAACAAAAGAATGAACTCTGGGTTTCATGTGCTCACAACTGTAAACCTACTTTTGCCCTGCCCTGCAGGTATACTCTGTCCAACTAAGCTACGGAAAGCACTTCATTGTACGCTTTATTCTCATTCGTGAGCGCCCACTTATTTTCTGCCCCGTTAGACAAATATCATTCTACCCTCATCGTTATAGGTACAGATAACATTTTGTTATGAATATAATTCTTAGTGATACTCAGTACTTGAGCAGATAACCTATCTGATTGAATTTTGATTTGAAATTGCCACCCTCAATGAATCCCTCGGCAGCCTAGTACCAAACAGTATCGGCCATCACACGTGGCTCTGTGTTTTTAACAGGAGACCAGCCCCACTTTTCTTTAATGCATGACAGGCTCTACTGGAACTCCAATGTCAGCTATGCATCACTGCTTACAACTGCAGAGTGTACTGCTACCCTTCTCGTAAGAAAACTCTCCAAGAACAGCGTTACTGCTTAATTATAAGGCATAAAAGATTCAGTATCTACCAGTGAAGCCATCATTACTCTTTGCAAGTTCGCAGAGTTATGTATTTTGAAAAGAGGCTATTAATGTTTCGAGAAAATGTATCCTATTACATAGCAAGGGGAATGGCTATTTTAAAGTTAGTATCTGTAGATGAAATGCATAAAGATTTTAAAATGTACTTCATAAAATTAAAAGTTTAATTAAGCAATTCAGAAAGTGTGGTCTTCTCCAAATCTATTACCTCAAACAGTCAAGAGGTAACGCACGCATAAAACAAATGAAATGTTGACTGTGGTTATCTCCTAAGTCCCGGACTTGTAACACATGGGGTAACAGGAGTTACACTGTCCTGTTATTTCATAAGCAACAAGAAGTTATTTCTAAAACTGTAGTTCAAGACATTTGCCATTCTTGGGTTACAGAGAACACTAAAATTAACAGTATTTAATAGCAGAGTTTTTAAAATTTCCATTTTGTCTATCCAATAATTAAATGTGACCAATATCAAAATTGTAATTATTTCATTTTTCACACCTCTGCTTAATCCCCTTTTATCTGACTCATTCCTTTCAGTTATTTACAGTTTTTGTAAATAACCCAACATGACCCTTTTTCCAGAAAATGACTGTATTTCTTATGTGAATATCACATGTTCCCTGTTGCCCTAACATAAAACCTAGAATAAAAAGGGTGGCAAATGGCTATTGATTGATTTAATGAAAGCTGTATTTCTGGAATTAAAAATGTTCCCCATGCCGGCACTCCCCCTTACTGATTAAACCCTCATGATACACTTGGTTAGAATTAGTTCTCACAGTTAAAAGCACAGTGATGATTAAGTATATTTCAATAATCAATTCTGAGTAACAAAGAACAATAACACACAGATAAGTACAGATGACTGCAAGCATTTCAATGACCTGCTGTTTCATACAATTTATTATCATTTCACATTCAACTGTTAAGATGGCTTTTGAATAGTGACAAAAGCGTGCTAATGACAAGGGGACACACCATGTCTACTTAAGTGCATCTGATTAGACAGTCTATTATCATTTAAGAAAAACAACATTTTAAATGTTATATATTTTCATTTTCTCTATAGTCAATAATGCCATGAAGTTTCTCCCTGAAAGGAATATCTAACATTTAAAGCAAAAACGGTAACCCCTTGAAGATGAAAAATAATGGTCATGAATGAGCAATTCTAAAATGTTTTGGTCTCAGAATCTTTTAATTAATAATTAGAAAATAAGCCAACATTTCAACATAGCGTGTTTTTTTATGAGTAGTAACTTAGCGAGAAGAGTGGCCCTGCCTTACACCGGGCAGCGCGTCTGGGCTAGTAGGGGACAGCTGGGCTCCCCCGCTGCGTCTCCTTTCCAACTGTCACGATTTCATTGAGGTGAAAGAGAACCCGGCCTCTGAACAGGGGAGAGGAATTTCCGTGCCCTTTGCAGATAACCGTGGACAGCTTAACAAACTCCCAGGCCCTGCCGCGCCCAGCGAGTCAGAAACGGGAGCCTAGAGCCCAGCAGTCTGTGTGCAACCGTGTGAACCCCTCCCAGGTAACAACGGCAGGCTCAGCAGGCTGACACGGGAAGTCACACCAGGCTGACACAGTCACACCAGGCTGACACCAGGCTGACACGGGAGGACTTCCACTTTACACTAATACTTTACACTAACTCTCAACTTCCGTCAGGTCACTGTGGAGGGACGGTGGCAAGACGAATCACCTAAAGGAACTAAAACTCACATTCAAGGTTAACGTTTACAGTTTCCCTGTGTTGTTCAACCCCGTTTTGTTAAAATTTCACACATTTTTTAAATTCAAGGGGTCACTTTGAAATGTATTAACTTTTTAATAATCCAGTTAACTGTTCCAGTTAATGGTGGAACTTGAATGCTTTTATTAAAATACATTAAAATTTAACCTTCCCCCGAATTATTCTCTGCAAAGAAAAACAGTGTCTACCCAGGGTTAAGAAAGACACACGATATAAAACCTTACACAAAGGAAAATTCCTTGCATTAAAATGAATTTTAATGTGTGCATCTACAGTTTTACTTCAATGAATGATTTTGCCTTTGCCATATTAGATGTGATCCAAACAGAGGCAGACCGATCTCCGTCCGCAGTCTGACCTCCCGTCCACCTAACCAGCCTACAGGTGTATCAGCGGTGAAGGCATTATTTCAGCTTCCCAGGCTTCTGCTAGAACGTGGCTTTCCTCCTTCGCACTGTGTACACACCTGCATTTTCTTCGTCACCTTTTACTTTCTCCACAAGGTAATTTCTCGCTCCTTAGGTGCACACTGTATATACCGCCTCATCATTTTTTTTTACTGCTTATGAGAACAAAAGTTTTTCTTCCAAAACCAACTTTTCTAAAGAGCACACATACAGAAACCATTAACATTTTGTTTTCAGGAATCATAAGAAAACTTCTTGATTCTGAATATTGAAGAAATTTTCTAAAGACCAGATAGAAAATTTCTTCAAAAACAATTCACATGAAGACAAGTCCTTCTCATTACTTAAACATCTAGAGTAATAATCAATAGACTAAAAATCACTTATGGATAAAAAGGAAAAGTCTATGCTTGGCTCTTTTTGGTACACATTAACTGAGAAAAACCAATCAAATTG